AAGTTTTCACTTTTCAGGTGCGCCCCCGTCTATTCCTGCCGGATGTCAATCAAAAGCACCGTTGTTCTTTGAGACTCCTAGCGAAGCAAAATCTCATTGATCTGGAAATCAATTGTCATAATGAAATTTTGATTTCATTAACAACTAGCATCCATATTTCACATAAATTTTACACCCTCTATCCCCTTTTCCAGTGGTTTGAAAAAATGAGTGGCTAGTTCCTTGCTATATTGTATCTCAAATAAGAAAATTATGCTATCAAAATCCCACTTAGACAACAGTCTCAAACAACTGCAATGTATATTAGTGCTCTGTTGCAACCACTATTGAAATAACGACCACTTTTGAAATAATTATTTCAATAGTGGTTGTAACAGAAGAAAAGATCCCTCTCAGATTAGACAAAGTAATTAAATTTCACAAAATTAGTCGTGGAGAAAATTTCCATAATTTCATCCGTGCTGATTTTTTTTTCTTTTAAGTGTGTATAATATCAATATTTCAATGTAATTTATGATCATATAAAGGTAATGATTTTGTAAATTTAGTATTGTCGGCTAATGTTTTGAGGTCTTTCAATTTAATGATTATAATTTTTTTTTACACAATATGACTATAGGACATTTAATACCACAGATTTGGATTCTTAAGTCAGTGACTTTCCTACTTTTAAACTTAGGGTAGATAGCAGGGGAAGAAGTTTTTAACAATGCAAATTACTTTCGTCAGGTTATAGAGATGTTGAAATGTGATTGCTGATTATGATGACACTCCAGCTATATATAAACATTGTATACCTGTGTGAAGCAGCGTCTCATTAATGCCTTTAAAAGGGTATTTCTGAATTTCAATAATAGGAGAATATTGACCAACAAACATTTATTCTTAATATAAAGGTTACAGTGACATATATAGTAATATAGTCAACCTTTCATTACTTCTGCTTGCGGTCGTCCACTGCAAAAGAAAAGACATAACGTCGTGTAAAAGAAAAGACAATAATGTCATAAAATCGTCATATACACAAACACAGAAACGTGTCCAAAATTCAATGCATACCTGCGCTATCCATAGTATGTATAACCGGGATAGGGGTATGGGTAGGGTAAGGGGTATGGCACATACTGTGTTCGTCTTCCACCACCAAATGCACGTCCGAACAGAGGAGCCAACAACAGGCCTCCCAGGAAAGCCCCACCGAAATTGTTCTGGGCCGTGGTAAGTCCGGCGACAGAGAGAACAAACACCAGCGTCAAGATTCTCTTCAACATCTGTAGTATTGGCCAAATTATATTTGTGAAAGGTTGATCGATTGATTTATTGATTGGTAATCTAAAGAGCAGTATGCTTTATTCAAGGGGAAAAAACAAAACAAACAGGAACGTTTTACAGCAAGATCTAGTCAATGTTTTTTCCCCTCCCAACTCTTTCCGAAGTTTTTTTTTTTTAATCAAGGAATCTGAATCGCTCTGTTAGTTGTCTGTAAATTTTCTTCTGTACATAATATGTCTATCTCATACAATTTATATTTAACTAACGCAGTTTTCCTTTTCTTTTTATAGGCATCTTTTCGCTTTCACTGCATTCTAACATAAAAAAGTGAAATTGAAACAATTCGCTGAATATATTTATTTTATTAAATATTGTTATTTTATTTCTCGTAATAATTTAATATTCTTTCATCATTGAAAATCCTCCAATTAAAAACTTTTTCAAACTAATTAAACGAAACGCGTTTGACTTAAAATAACATTCCATTTATTTAACCGTAACAAAATAAAATTTCAATTTATTCAAAGTTTAAACAGAAGTAAAAAACAAAATGACTGCAATAACGAATTCAATGATATCTTAAAACATATACAAAATGTATTTTATAAAGGAAAATAATTACAAATTAAGAACAATCAATTTGAAAATTACCGGTATATACATGTACCCACTTTTCAATGACCGTGCTTAAAAAAAATCTAACACCTTCAACTTCTCATGAACCCAAGACTTTGGGGAGAGGATGTCTTAAGTTTTGGAATTGAACTTGTCTTCAATCCAAATTGTTCGTAACAAACAATACAAAAAATGTTAAAAGAACCAAAACTAATTTCTTTTGAAAATCTTTTAAAACCGGGTTAAAGACATTCCACGAGTTGCATGAAGGTAAAATTGAGAATTTTATCGTAATCTTTAAACTTCAGGTATAATGTTTTATTTCTATGTGAGCAGGATAAAATGAAAAAATAAAGGTATTGAAATAGGTTTGATTATCTACTTACGGTTTCCTTTCAGGGTTTTGCAAAGATTAAGCTTTTTTATGTTTGACCGAATTTAAGTCTGTCGTTCTGTAATTAAACTGTCATATGTTGATTGATGTTCAACACAAAATAAGCTACATAATTAACGGGGACTCATTAACATGGAATAAGTTTTAATTATCTACTTACTAAGGTCAATGTAATGAATATGTCGTGTAGCAAGGTGTTATTCTGAGGTATCCCTTATGGCCTTCTTTATTACTGTTTGTGCTGGACAAGTAGTTGATAGATAATTGTGGGTATTACTTGTAGCTGAGCTATATAGAAAGACCAAGGATAAGCACAACAAAAAATCGGAGGTTATTAAAACAGTTATGTTATATCTATAAGTGTATTTCTATTATATTAGACCAAAGGCATAGTCACAAAAATTAGAAGGGGGTGGGGGCTCAGCCGAGTACATGTCTCTCAGTTTGGCGACAAGTAAAAAAGAAAAAAGAAAAAAAAAGATTAATCTGCAATCCTGCACAACGATTTTCATATACTAATTACTACATTACTGAGTCGCCCGAAAAGCGGGGGAGGGCACAGTTAATTTTTAGCTTGTCGGCGATGGCTTTAGACCATGGGCGCTCGCTCCACTTGTAATTTTGTAAATGATGAGTAAGTTTATTTTATATGGGGTCTACCCCTCTATACTATAAAATGAACATTATATAGTATGGAGTTTTAGACCTATATTTTCTGGATGTATGTATGGGCACAAAGTTTCGAAAAGATACTCTTTCAGAAGTGAGGAGGGGGACAAATCCTCTTGTCCAGGCGCTCCCATGCAAAAGACGAATGATACTTGTATGTCTGTTATATTCATCATTTAGAGTAAATGATTGGGCTGCTACATGTATGTAGCAACTGCTAATGATAAAACGCCGCTTAATGATAGAAATATCATTAAAAAGTGTTGCAATTGAAACGGTTAATGCCATAAATTATTGCATTAATAGTTGACCTTCTCAACCGCTAATGCTAAATCGCCACTTAATGAAAGAATTACATTTGTATATCATTAAGCTGTTGAGAATTTTAACTATTAATGCAATAATTTATGACATAAAGCGTTGCATTGCAACGCTTAATGATATTTCTATCATTAAGCGACGTTTTATCATTAGCGGTTGCTACACACCGCTATGTTCAAAGTCAGTTTTTGACAACACGAAGACTAATAAAGTTGTCGGGATATTAGCATCACATGTTATACATATATTGACAGCTAAAAACAATGACTTGGCATGTCCTTTACATTACATGACAGTTTAAAAATGTATTTTTTTTTTCAATTGTTGCATATTGACAAAAAATCTACATCTATCGAAACAATTAGCGAATGATGCGCCTTTTCCCTACAAATTGAAGTATTTTTGAACATCCGTCATCTCTTGAAAACCAGGCTCCGGCAAGTCATGGAGCAATTTTAGACTTCTGGTTATATCAAAAACTTTTGAGAGGTATATTTTAGATATATACTTATACAGCAAAACTCAAAATTGGGAAGAAATTTGGGGGCAGTGTACCCATTACTGAACAACTGTACAATAAACTTGACCTTTTTGCGCTTGAATTATAACTTTAATATTATCTATTTAACCTCAACTCCGTCATATTTTATCAGATGTAATCATAACAATGAATATAATCTTATTTTATGTAAAAGTTTAAAATACATTATTAAAAATTTTGGAATGTTACACTGTATTAAAAAATTGTTTCTCTTTTATGTTGTTAATAAATGAAATTTTCGATGTTGACTTTAGTCTAGGTCTGGGACTTGAAAAATTAGCTGGGTGTTTGGATGATTATGCTATAGACTCAATTTGCTGTTTTTCAGAATTTACTCGTGCGCTTGAAATTAACTGTAAAATTGTGATATGAAGAAAAAACATTTCGATTCGCGCTTCAGGAACACTAAGCAAAATAATTTTGTTTTAATGTGATTTTTGCCATATATTTTATAAGTAAAACTTCGTTTTTTTGTTTTTTTTTTTTTTTTTTTTGGGGGGGGGGGGGGGATGCTGGCCCCTGATTGTGTTTGACAATTTGTACTAGTTAAATGTATGATTGATTTTTCCTTCAAATATTTCTGTCTAAAACTTTAACACTTATTGTGGCCCCATTCTGGCCTTTGACAGTTTTCTAACAAACATTTTGTAGCCACATAGCTAATTAAGCCTTTAACAGATTTCTATCTAAAATTTTTTCCAAGTCCCCTCCTGTGCCCCATTCCTAGCATGGTTTACTCTATTGAGTGCTTCAGCACGGTTCGACATTTATTGCAGCCTGGTACTCCTACTTTCTTTAATTCTCAGTTGAAACCTTTAGAAAAGCACATTGTCCTTTATTTTGATTATCCCTCATCCATTGATGCTTTATGGCAAGTCTGGCTGAAAACTGACCCAAAGGTTCTCTGAAAAGTTCATGTAACTTACGCAATGAAAATTTGAAAATAAAAAGCAATGAAACCTTTTTGGTTATACACTGTATATGCTTACGAGTATACATAATAACAGCCATACAGTGTTTGTCTCATTTCATTCCTCTTTTGTTGGATTGTACATCTCAAAACATTCGCTCATTCAAATAGAATCTTATTTATCATAAAAGAAAATTAACTGGGGTCCAGTACTCCATCAAGTATCATGTATCCTGGGCACTTCTATACACTGACAAGAAAAAATAAACAACTATGAATTGAAGGTAGGGATTTTAATTATTTATTAATGAAGCAAACATAACAATTCTAGACTACAAAACAAAGTTGCATAACTTAAAACTTGGGAAGCACCTTAAGAGAGTTCGTTTCTACTCAGTAGTTAGTATCACATAATCTACTGTACAACACGAGGGGAGGGGGGCACTGCTTGTCCTGAATTACACAGTTTTAATATCATCTACAGTAAAAACATGATAAATAGGTATTTATTCAATTACTCCTAACGTCAGAGCACACCTGCAAGTGTGTGCATGTTTTTGTTGTTAAGTTGTTGTTAAGAGATTCTGAACACTAAAACTGAACACATTAAACTTTTGATAATCCACTATTTCCAGGTAAAATATACTACTTGTATATGTGTATTGTCCAAAACTTCTGTCACAAAATTGTCATGTATCTTTAGGGTCAAAAAATAAAACAAAATATTACAAAATTGAAAAAAAAAAAAATCACAAATTTCTATAAAAAATGTCATATTTAAGAAACACTGAACTAAAAAAGACATTTCTTCATGGTTTTATCTCTCTTTTAAATTCTCAACAGGTAAATAATATTTTATACCCCAAACTATAATTTCATCCATAAATGTTTAAAATACCAAAAATGTATTTATAGAATCCTTATGAGGTAGGATTGTCACTCTGAATCTAGTATCTAGAGTATGCAGGGATTTTCCCATTGAAGAGATTCAGCTACAGAAATCTTCCAAGTACATGACTTTTCACACATATCAAATAATTAACAAATATTAAACAAAAAATATGTCTTGCAGGAGAATCATACTTTCAAAATAATATTCAATGTTTGCACCAATAGATTCAGTTATTAAATCTGCCTTTTTTACAACCCCTCTGGTTCCTTTACGGTTTTCTTACACAAAAAAATTGTCTTTCAGATAAACATTTTCTCATTTTAAAAAAAAAAAATGTTCTAACCATTTGGTAATAATGTTTACTTGTGGTAATGTACTGATATGAAGATGGAGCACAATGTATACGATTTCCATTTCTTATATATCGTTAATCTTCTATCAAAAAAAAAATAATTCACGTGTTACATATCTTAAAATCACACGTGCTTATGTAAAACATAAACAAATCAAAATTATGACATTTTCAGGTACATGTATATTAATAAGATTTGCTATGTGTACACTACTACAATGTACAATCCATAAAATGACCACTCTCATTATGTACAAGATATGTTGTTTTGTGACTTCAGCATGTAGACATTATAAACATGATGTCAAGGGCCACTTGACCATAATTTGCTGTGCTGGGTTTCTCCAGGCAAAAGTTTGACACAAACATACCAAGAATAAAAGACAGAGAGATTAAGAGAGAAAACGAAACCTGCCACTTCTTTTATAACTTCACTGATTGTTGTACATGTCTATAACATTGTTCTACTGTGTGTCCTTGTCTAAATGATTGTACAAAGCAAGAAATACGAGGTCTCCCAGAGCAGCTTACAGAATGAAGTTCCTATATACGACAAATGGTGCAGATCTTATGCATGGAGTCAGGAGATAAACATTTCAAACCTTAGGAACAATTTTTAACTCATTTTTCTTTAAAAAAGGAACATGAATCAATGAATCATGAAAAACTGTATATTGCACCAACTTTTCACTCTCAAAATACCACATTTCAAATCAAATTCATAAATGCAAACTTTTTCAAAATTGAATCTGTCTTAGCATGCTTAGTTTTGACATCCATCATACACAAAATATTATGAGTATTTGAAATTACAAATAAAGTACCAGTAAGCCTATATTTCAACAGGATTTCAGCGTTTTTTGCTGTTTGTCTGAATGTTTCCTAGGATGTCAAAATACATGTGTAACTTTTAATCTCTTCTTTTGATATGTTTTTCTCATACCTAATATCACAAGGAATTTATATAAGCATGCGCTCATGCACTTTGTAATCAAAAACTCAGAGATGGCACAAATGAATACATGTACCTCTACTTTAGTTTAAAGCATTATACATATCTTTTCCATTTTACAGATTAAAAAAACAACTATCTACTAAAAAAGTTATACACCTACGTTCACAATGAAATTCTGTACTGTTTGTGAATTCAGCCCTTTTTTATTCTGATAAAGAATTATACTCCATTATAAAAACTATCATGTGCTTTAAGCTACTTGTATATCAAATGTATCTACATCACCGTGATAAAAGTATGAGAAAGCCAGAAACTCTCACAAGTAAGAATTAATACATGTAGTTTTGTAGAAAATTTCTGTACAGTAACACAGACACCACCGACTCCTGCCATTATAAAAACGTGCAGAGTATGATTATTCACCAACTTTTAAATCAACAAACTTTTGTGATCTTTTGTGAGATCATTTCTTTACATATTAGAAATTGCAAATCACCTACTCAAACAACTGTGCTTTAATTTTAGGGGGTAAAACTTTGAGAATTTTTTTCAACTATTTAAATTATTGATGCCCATTTACAAAACATATTTAAAAGATACGGTAAAACAAATGTTTTTTTTTTTTTATTTGATATCTTACGAAAAGTTCTTATGTTTTCAAAAAAAAAAAATTCTAAAAACTTTGACCAAGGCCCCAGCTTCATTATGCTAAAACATGAATTACAATGAAAACTTTTCTAAGTTAAAGTCTGACATCACATTAACAGGTTAATGTCCTATGTTACAATAATCATAAAACCTGAGCCTACAGTTGACTAGTTTTGAGTTGAATTTGATGCTTACTAACTAACCGTTGGTTGAAGTTGGTAGCTGATACCTTGATCTTTGAAGAATTGTGCATATTGCGTGGAGACATATGTTCCTCCGTGAACCCATTGGGATGCCCGTTATAATCTGTGTGTACATTCACTTTCGATACATACCTTGTAGGACTGCTGCTAATGTCATTGGCACTTTTTGCTCCCTGTCTGTAGGAGCTGTTCTCCTGCATTTTTATGTCATGGCTTGCATTAGATGAGTTGTGGTTTTCGCCATTTTCCATTCGACTTCTTGACTTAATGTATCCATCTGACTTACTGGATGGTATGTGGATTGAAACTTCATGATGAACAGGTACCTCTGTTATTGTGGTCTCCATGGCATCATGAAAGCTGGCTTTTGAAGAAGCATTGAGACTTGCACTGTTTTCTATGTTATCATAGTCTGAATGAACAGAAGGAGTTTTAAGCTCCTCTGCAATATTCTCAATGGTTGTGTCGCGGGACGGATGCCCATTTTCCATTCCCACTAAATGCTCATCTAAGTCATCCATCATGGGTGTCTGCCGAAATCCCTCCACATCTGAATCATCAGCATAGGATGTCCGGGAACTCTGCATCGAAGTTTTCGAAAATGAAATTCTTGAATTAGCAGCAGTATCATAATAGGTAGAAGTGTCATCCATGGAGTATTCAGATAATCGACTCGAGTCGGTACGACTCCGAGGCATGTCAGGGGTAGCGACAGAGTTCAGTCCCCTTTTCTTTAAGTAACCAGCCTTGCCTTTGTGGGGATTCCTCTTAAAGTGTTCATCGATTGTTTCTGGGTGACGCCCCTTTATAATTTGTTCTATGCTGGGTTCTATCTCCAGTCCAAATGGCAATGTTGGCTCCTCGTTCACCTTGGGACGGGGAGGAAGGTCCATTTTAGCTTTGCGTAGTTCCTCCATACAAATCTGTAACTGATCTATCACAGTGTCATCATCATAGCCAAAGTTTTTCTCCAGTTCTGTCTGAAAGAATTGCAGGATTTCATCTGGACCCATCCTCATCATCTTTCCTACAAATACAGGGTATACCTTATAGAATCACATTTTTCTTGTCATAGTTCTGAATGCCTGTGAGCTCTTAAGCTATCTTTGAGCCTAAGTCATGGCATGTTAAATTCTCTAAAAGATAAACATGAAATAATTTCTTGCCAAGTCTACAAATATAAGTCTTGTCATCAAAGATCTGTAATGGATGTATTACAGGAAATGATAAAAATAAAAGAAAGAAAAAGCTCACATACCCCACGCTCCCTCAAAACACAACAATGCAAAACTTAATGAATGGCACAGTGCATTTTAAATACACAGTATAATTCAAAAAAAGGGGCATTACTTGCAAAAAATCATCACACCAAAACTTCTTGCATATAAGGACATTCAAATCTTTGTATGTTACAAATTTAATTGGGCTGAAGTTTCTAGATAAAAAATGGAATCAAAATTTCTTTACAATATACAAATCTATACATTATGTCTGAAATACCTACAAAGTTTCAGGAAATTCAGTGCAGGAGTTACATGTATGCTGACAAACTGTTATTTAAATTCCTCAGTGATTTTGATTTGTTAATGAGTGTAAGTCCATGTCCAACGTATGACAATTTACACATTTAAATAACTGATGGAAACAAAATTATGATGTAGTCATATGAATTTGTTTACATACTGTACTTATGAAAAATTATTTAAGGCAAAGCACCAATTTGAAGGGGGGGGGGGGGGGGGGGGGGGGGGGTTAGGTTAGAGAACTATCCAAGATTTTGTTTGTGTGTGTGTTAAATCATTAATATTTTGATCTCAAAATCAATAGGGGTCTTTTAAGGTCATAAAATATTTCACATAAAATTTCATTATAAAAGCTGATTCCAGTGGATTTCCTTATTACCTAGCTGGAAAGTTTCTTCAATAATAGGCAAAACTCTTAGGGCAAAAATAATGAATCGGAATTTCCTGGTAATATGCATATCTACACACTGTGTAAAAAATATCTGCAAAGTTTGACGAAATTCTGTGCAGTGGTTTATGAGTAGTTGCACTGACAAACTGTCCATCTCTATATTCAAGATATGGCCAAAAATCTAAGTTGAAAAGTGCCGAAATTCCCAGAAAAAATAAAGGAATCGGAATTTCCTGGTAATATGCACATCTACACATTGTGTTCTAAATATCTGCAAAGTTTGACGAAATTCTGTGCAGCTGTTTATGAGGAGTTGCACTGACAAAAAAAAAGGACTGACGGACTGACTGACAGGTCAAAAACATTATACCCCCCGCAATTTGTTGCATGGGGTATAATAAAGAGTCTGTGTATTCTGTTGGATGTTTCATTAGTATGACAGAATTTAATAGACTTACTCCTGTGTAATTTGATGATGTTGTATGCCATAGCTGAGAGAACCTTCTCCCCCTCCAGTATATAGATATCCCACAGTCTCAGTGTCAGGGTAAATGGGATCTACATTATAAACATTCATACTTACATATATTACACATAACAGAAATTACAATACAGTATATATATGTGCCATGCAAACGACCAAGTCTTATTACCTATATGACTGTACTATACATATGCTTTCTACTTATACTTTTCTGGCAAATAGTAATAAAGAGGAAATTTGAATTAAGGTCTATATAAACACAGTATGTAACAATGATCTAGAAATCAACTCCTTACCCTTCCCAGAAAACACTGCAAAAACCATTTTATGGAATATAATGATGGGTAAATGTCATTTCTTTCCTGTAAACACAAAAAAAAAACCAATCACTGTATATAATAATTAAATTTCTATCAGATTTCTAAGTTCAGCGTTTGAAAAAAATATGATGACTTCTTTTTAATTTGAGCACTTTTCATATATCTGAACCTTTTTTCGGGAAAACTTACAAAATACTTCCTGACTTTAGGTAAGAATTTCTTCAGAATTACATCATGGTGTTCCTGATATCGAAAAAGTTTGGGGAACCCTGGTATAAAAAACCCTGCAATAATAAAAAACGATGTTTCAGAAACTGAGATTCTTAAAAAGAACATAGACATATTTAGTCTACTTGCATTTTTAACAGCTTGAACACCTCTGCAGATTTCGTATTTACTGACTATCAAATGTTTAGTTGACAAATTCTACTAATTGCCACAGCCAGAAAATAAATTGCTTGAAATTACAGTTATTACCAAAATAACTACTCTCTCACAACAGAAAGTTCACACTATAAATATGTTACTACTTGAAACAGCTGTGCATGCAGTATTCCATCACTCCAGAATGGGTAAATTAAACATTAAAAATTATTCTACACTGAAAAACCCATTAAAGTTAAAAGTTTGGCCTAGAAACAGTAATTATATAAAATAATGAACAGTTTTTACAATTTACAAAAACATAATTAAAATACTACATGTAATCTTAATTCATCGATATATAAAATTTAACACATTCTTGCTGTGAAACTTTCAGTTTTAACAACTCTAAATTGTCCATTTTAACCTAATTTGTGTGTGTGCAGTGTAGAAATATCCAGTTGATAAGGGAAAAAAATGAACAAAAAGTGTGACTGAACAAAAACTTTAATGCAAGTGAGTTGAAGGTGAAAACTTTCTGGTTGGAATAATACTGTATATGATTCATTATTAAACAAAGTTAGAACAACATTCCTGATTATGTAATGTTTACATATAACACACATATAAAGAACAAAGTATGGCAAGGCCTCCATATTTCACAGCTTGTATTTCCACTTAATTATGACTGTTGATCATTAGTAATGGCATACAAAGATTACAGGTTTTACATTTAAGTTTTTAGATTTCACAGAATTTACGACTTCACCTGTAACAATAACAATGTAGACTGTTACAGTTTGTTTTAATTTCTATAAAATATATAAACAAAGAGAGATAAATTAAGCCAAATCATTATCTCCCAAAAATAAGATGTCGCAAAAATTTGGTGATCTACAGTAATCTTCATAAATACATGTAATCAATGTTAGTTCTGACAAAATTATCTTGCTGGGTTTACAATCAAAATTCATAACCATTTCATTTCTTAAGTTTCAAAGCTTGTGAAGGACCCACTTTGCCGATTGCATACTTTGTTCTTTGTGTTACATACATGATGAATTAATACTCATAAAAATAACTACATGTTATGAGTACAGATATAGAAAAGTTTAATAAGAAATTTATATATATAACACTGTTCACCACATTCTGTACAGCCTTTTTTTTATGAAATCCAAATTTGTAAGGATTCAGTTATTTACAACTTTGAAGATTTCTGTGTCTGAATAAATCAAGCCTAACGAGTTAAAGCAAACAAATCTTTGTAGCTGATCTAGACATGTAATATTCTCACCAATGTAGTGCAATAAGGAAGGAAATAATTACATTAACAGCTAGTGATCCTCAACTTTACTTCACTTTTACAAACAGCTCAAGTCAACTTTTCAATCTATATTATCTTATCAATTTACTATCTTTTTTTTTTTTTTTAAATTTCCTTAAGTTTATAATTTTGGAACACAATACCATTCAACAAAAATCTTGGTTTCCTATCTTTTTTTCTTTAAATTCCAAATATTTCTTTTAAATTAAATTCATAAAATGTACTTAAAAATGCAAATAAAAGAGAAAGGAAAGTAAGTAGAGAGGGTTAGCCCCAGGCCTTACCATGCATCAGACGGCTGGGATTCTTACCATGCATGCCGTGTTGTTTACTACAGAACAGCTGTGAAAGGCCCCAGAAGGCATCCTAAAATATTCACCATAAATAGCATTGTTTGCTTATCAACTCAAATATCTTATTTCACATTATCTATTCAAAACCTCAGTTTTAAATACTTTTAATATTAAATTGTTCTCTATGGGTGGTCCTGTTCAATGATATCTAGTCAATGAACTGAAATTAATTTAACAAAAGTAAAAACTATTAAATCCTTAAAGTATGATTGCATTAAAAAAATGTTTATTTTACACACGTGCTATAATCACAATTCACAATGATTTACAAAAAAGCAGAAAGTGGATTAATGACAAAACATATGCTCCATTAAGAAGTTGTTGATACACACAGCTGCTGAGTGAATACTGACCTCTTCATTGAGGTACATCAATAAAAGAGCGGCTATCTCACTCATTCCCTGACAGTAGCCCACCTCTGTATTGTAGGTAGAGTAGGCAGCCAGGACGTGGAATAAGGCCTGTTGTCTGGAAAAAAATAAAGGCATTATAATTATCTCCCTTTAACATTACAAAAACATGGTCCTTGTTTAAAAAAGTCTCATTACATTTTTTTACTGTGATAAGTAAAAAATTGTTCTCCCTTTTATTTTACTACATGTAATGCAAGCCATTAAGATTTTACGTGACATGCAGGAATATTTCCCATATCACTGTCTTGTTTCACTCTGTACTCACTTGACACCGTATCTTTCCCTGAACATGATGTGATTTCTGTATGTTCTGTTGACATCAATGTCAATTTGTCGTATGTGGGGGGACTTTTTCCTAGCTCGGTCTCTCATTGCCTGAATAAAATAAACATTGCTTTTTTTTTTAATATCTCATCATTTTCTTCATAATTTCTTATTCAACATATCTTATGAATTCTTGAAAATTCTTGAAATTCTTGAAAAACTTCATATTTTTTATGCAAATTTGAAAACTGAATTTCAGTCCAGGAAAAATCAAAATTTAGTAACATTGAGGTATATTTGGCTAATTGTGACAACTCAAAAGTTGTCTTGCAATTCTACTGTGCCAATTTTGGCAATCACTGCTGAATTACAACTGCAAGTAACAGGTTACATGTAGTGATTAAGTCAATTTAAAGACACGGCTAATTTTTACCTTGTAGACTCCATTCTGTTCCTCTCTGGTTTTATTGATATTGAGAATGCGAGCCCACACAAGACCTCTCAATCCTGCTGGAATTCCCTTGTAAATTCTTCTAACAATCTGTAAACAAAGTTTTTTAAGAGCAGATAAAATTATCTATTAATTTCTGTAATCAAAAGGATAATATCTTTAAAGAACTTTACAAATATACAATTTACCATTTTCTTTTTTTCATATTTTATTATATACAATCAAGCGAGATTGTATGGCAATTACTATTTATTAACGTATGATTGGTTGTGTTTACATTGTTTTATACTGAGTTTCGGTACCCATTACCCTGCCTACCGTAGTCCCCGCTTGTCCCCTCTTACCTTCTCCCCGGGGTAGTACTGCTCCCACTTGTTGATCATTTTCAGCCATTTCTTTGATCGTTCTCTTTCTATCTCTATAGCCTGATTAAATAAAATTTTGTGTTATATAAGACTTCTTTGTATAAGCTATCTTTCTTGTACACAAAGTATTTATCTTGTTTACTACTGTATACAGGCTTTCTTTCGCCCCCGTGTTATTTTCGCCTTTTACACTTTCAAACATCTTTGTGTTTAAAAGAGAGTGCTGTCTTAATTCTTTTAATTCAACCCATTTTAAATTAATCCATCTACAATGTGGGCAAAATTTTCCCTGTATACAACAGATATTTATCTTGTCTACTGTGTATTTATCTTGTGTACAAAATATTTATGTTGTATACAAATTTTAATATTTATCTTGTACACAAAGTATTTATCTTTTAAACAAGGTATTTATCTTGTACTGTACAAAGTATTTATCTTGCTCACAGTTTTTATTTTGTCCAATAAAACAAATGCTGTGTACCATTTTGATTCACAGCAGTCAATATTCGAGGGTAACCAAAATTCTACCGATTCTTGGGGACATAATTCTGATTGTAACTTGTATGTAGAGAAGACTTAATAAGCAAATGTCTTTACAAAGGTATTGTTCATGGGTATGTACATATAAATTTGTGGGTCCACAGGGGGGTCCAAAAAATCCAGGAACATTGGTCCCCCATAAACAATGATGAATAATTCATCAATAATCATGATTCCACTGTAATTAATCTTTCTGCTTTATCAGTAATTAATATCATTGAGATTAGCAGGGGCTGACAAATCCCATTGCCCGACGTCCCGGGGCTAGTGAATTTTAGGAGAGGGCAAGTGAAATTTTATCAACCACTTGCCCATGGGCAAGTGACTTTTAAAAAATAGAATATTTAAGTCATAGATTTAATTTTGGGCACAGAGGACTGCATGTTCTACTCAGTATTTTTCTTGCTATTTTTTGAAATATACATAAATACAGTATATTAGTTTATGACTGGGCAAGCAAAAATTCAGGTAGGGCAAGTGAATTTTCACCATACACTTGCCCTTGGACAAGTGCCTAAAAAATCTATTTGTCAGCCCCTGATTAGCTGTTAATCCCTGTTGTAAGGGGCTTCTGATTACCTTGCTTTCTGCTGCATCCCTTCCCTCAGGAAGACGGTGGTCACTGAAAAATACACAATAAAATTATTGTACTAACTACAATAAGATTGTTTGTTTTATGTTTATGGGACTGTTCAATGTAAACAGAAAATTAATCCACAGATCATTTCAGAGATTTATTTCAAGATCTACAAACATTACAACATTATCTAATTAAATGAAACTGCTGGTGTGTGTGAGTGTATTTATAATCTTTATTACAAGTTTACAACCTTGATTACGGTGATTGCTCTCTTTTATTCCTTTATACGGATTGTTCAGTTTCCAGTCTTTATCATTAATAACAGTGTTTCGTATGTCAAATAACTTTATAAAAAGACCTGACAGTAGTGATGGGAATCAGAAAGAATTTTTTAATCGATGATTGGGTTACTGTAACTAACTTATTATCGATTATAATCAGACATTTACGAAGTCTATCAATTTTGTTAATTAAATGGTAAGAATGAGTAAATGACTACTTTCTGTAGATGTATTTGTTGTTTATTTTGCTGAAAAAGAATAAATGGATATCATCTGAGTGTTTTATTGAGTGTGAATCTGTTTTTTTTTTTCTTCATACACTGTACAGATATAAAACTTATGTCCATACCCAGGAACGTGCTTTGTTACCCAGTAATGGATACAATATTGTCTGTTTGTCTGTGCCATTATGATACACAAAAAGTTTATAGATAAGTTGCGTCTGGAATATTTGGCTTAAAAACTATAATGCTTGTAAAAAAATAAAAATAAACCGATTAATCAGAATAAAAATTTTGCAATCGAGCGCTTGGATTATGCCAGTAATAGACTAATTTTCGATTATAATCGATGATTGGAACACCACTACCTGACAGTTATTCAGACCATATGTATTACTAACACTGTAATAAATGTATATACATACAGGATTCAGTGATATCTGTGCTTCTTTATTTGAACGTGTTAGATTCACTGAACATGTCCAATAGTTCTGTTTCTTCTTACATTAAATAACGTATCCCCTCCCCCTTCTTAGGACCTGTACTTACTGGATAAAGCCCCATCGGTCAAGAACATGGTACACCTCAAATGCTGGATCCTCCCAGGGGTCAATCTGGGCCCCCTCCTCTCGTCCCTATATAAGTAATCAACAAAATAATTACATTCATTAGAAAATCACATAATGAGAGATGATCATTGTAGATAAAATTTGTTTCTTTTAAATTAAAATCACAAAATCAACTTTGGAGAGCAACATTTCATATCGGTCATTAAATTACCCTCTACTGTAGAACTAATTGTAGTGATCAGATTATATATAAGCCACCTGCAAGTTCTTTAAAAATTCAGTAAGATGATGTAAATATTCTAGCTGTTAACAATGAACAGTCAAGATTTGGATGTGCTAGTGTATGTGCACAATATGGCTTACTAAAAAACATGATAAATGAGTCGAAACAAGTGTGGTGTTCCTTCAACACTTGATTTCATTCAAATACAATCATTTTTCATCTTTGGTATCAAAGACTAGAACCAAAGCTAAAAATATCTTTTTTAGCGCATGTATATACAAACACATTATAGAAACACAACATATTGTTATTCTTCCAGAATGCACTCTCTCAGTGAGTATCAATAAACAAAGCATTAAGTGTAAGAGAAAAATCTATAATTAAGCTCTGAAAAAGAAGAATTTTGGAGCTGACTTCATTCCCTAGGGGATTCAGTGTAACATGACATGAATTGATCCATTTCTTCCTATTCAGTCTGAGCCAGTCCCTGACATGTAACTACATATGACACAAGCTTGCTGTGAAGCTGCAATATACTTCTCAAAAGCTAAACACTCAACTTTTTCTTCTCAAAAAATTGTCTTAAAGTAGGCAACAACTACTTGAAATGTCTTTACTGTTCTTTATTGAGTCATAATAATACAGGGGAATGGGTGGGGACCATGTTTTCATGCAAACTGCAAACCTAAGACACAGATAAAATAATTCTTTTAACTTTAATTAATATGCAGTGTACCTCTGTGGTGTATCACCAAGTCACAAATAATCAAATGATTCATTATTTGTAAACATTTATCTACTCCAAACCTTGTTATGTACACCCCCCTCATTGGTGTTGTCTCTCATCTTCTTTTGCCCCCCCCCCCCTTCCCCATTACCTCTCCCACCATCATTGGTGTCTTCTCTCTCATTAAAGACTTTTTAAGAGTAAGATATTTCACCTCCACCACTGGTGAATTCTCTTACTTTGTAGTCTATACCAACCCACATATCACTGCTGTCTTCCTAACCATGCTATGTATAAACTGCCCTGTCTGAGTTCCAAACATCCACCACTGATGTCTGCTTTCATGTAACACCACCCCTCCCCCTACCACACATCTTTCAACTTGTTGTGAGTAGGGCTGGGATGATATATCGATAATAATGATTCTGTGTGAGGATGATACGCATATCGATACGTATGTAGAAATATTGAAATATCGCCTTTTTTTTCTTTATTTAACATTCTGGGTTAAATATATGAGACAAATATGCTAAATATAAATATGAAATACATAATAATTAACCCCACTTGTGTGAAATAATTTTTTTTTACAACCGATATACAGTTTCTATGAATAAATTATTCTTATTTGTGAAGAAATGTTTTGTTTAATACAAATAGAAGATTTTATACCAATTCAAAATATATATTGTCATACATATCGTATCATGGTTCAGATATCATGAAATGTATCGATATAAAAAAAAATTGTATCGTCCCAGCCCTAGTTGAGTGCAACCCCACTCCCAATCAACCACTCCAACAAACCAAGCCCACCCCTACCTAACCCAGACTTAACCATGCCTACACACACACACTACTGATATCTTCTCTCACCTTGTCATACTTGGCGACTATATCTCTCCTCTCCTCTGCGGCTCTCAGAACCTCATCATACTCGTCTATGGTTGGTGAGGCTGAAATAAGGACAATCATCAATTATTCATTCAAGCTATACTTAATTGTTTTAGGAGTACATGTAGTTGTCCATTATCAAAATCAAACTCACTCCCAAAGCTTCATATTATGGTCATACTTTTGACTTTCTGCATACATAACTGTACGACAGATCATAACTAGTGCTAATTGTAACTGGAACCGTTACAGATGTTCCCCAAACGGCTCCCCAATCCCTTATGATGCCCCATTCCCTACAAGCTTCAATAAATTAGACAATACTTTTGTTATATAGATGGACACTTTATTTTTAAGGGTATTTCATTGGAAAACTACTCCGATATAGCCAAATGAAATCAAATTTCAGCGCATGTGCTTGCACATGTTTTCTACATTTTTCACAATAATTTTCTTATAGTGTGTCATAATACATACATTTGTGTTAAATATTAAAGAATTTCGTTGAAAAATAAGAGAGATGTAACCCTTTAAGTATTAGCCAATCAGAATTCAGCATACGCGCATGCATGGCCTTGCATTCAATTTTGATAGTATCATAATGTAGGAGCTCTATGTGCCTATCCATGTCGTAAATTTCATCCTGTTTTGTTGAAAACCAAGGGAGTTATGGACATTCAAAGTTTCAACCAATCAGATTGCAGCACACAAGCATGCGCGTGTTTTCAAGAAATTTCCTATATACATGTTGTAGAACCTTAAAATATATACTTATATTCTAAATTTCAAAGTATTTTGTCAAAAAAGAAGGAAATTATTGAGATTTTTGTTTCAGCCAATCAGAGAAGAGCGCACGTGCATGCGCGTGAGTTCACGCTAATTTGACCGTGTTATCTTGTCTAGACTACTAATATATCTTTATATTTTGAGTTTCAAAGCAATTCATCAAGAAATATAAAAGTTACGGCTTCATCAAGTATATCAGTCATTTCACTCATTGCACGCGCGCGCACGTGCATGCATGTGCGCGCAAAATGACCTTCGTTCCGAACACCTATACAACATGCCTATTAACCCTAAAAAGGTTTCATGTCAATCGGATGAGTGGTTCTATGAGAACACTCCCGGACAAAAAAGTACCGGAGAAGAAAGTAGAAAAAAAGAATAATAATAATAATAATAATAATAAGAAACAGAGTAAAAACAATATGTTCCCAAACTTCGTTTGGGGAACATAATAATTCAGATCACATACATGTATGTACAAAAGTTAGCTTTTCAAGAATATCTAGTGAAGTTGACTCCTACATGTATAATAACTTTACTGATCTGGAAATACCAAGCATACATGCCATAATGTCAGTAGTATTTTAATCCTCTCTTTTACTCTCTGAAGATAAAATATAGAAAAAAAAATTACAGCATAGTTCTAAGAATTTGATTTTACTGGCTTAACTGCAAGAACATCGTATTACAAATGAACACTGATTTAAACATAAAAATTATTTTCAATGACAGAAGGTTATTCATAACTTCAAAATCATGACTCAATGCTATAAATATTTCTTTGTAAACTTATTGCTGCAGCTCAGTAGCACACACTTCCTTTTTCTTAACCACTCTGCATCAATTATGATCTACTTCAAAATTCAAAAGTATAAAGAGAAGAACAGTGAGTAAATTCTACTCAACTCCTTCCTGTACTTAAAAACAATTAAAGCCCCCCCTCCCTTAATTAGGTCAAGGTATCACAACATGCCAACTGATCAGTTAAGTTACAAAGATGTTAAATTAAAGTACAAATGATGTTAAATTTAACATGGTATCCACCAAGAACATACTAAATATATACAGTTGTGATAACTCAGTTTAGTATCTTGTATCTCAAACACACATTAAAACAGGATCTTTACCATGTTTACTGGGTCATAATCTAACGGTGAGATGTTGTGACTAATGTCTTGTGAGGTTTCGTACTGAACACATGTAAAGTTATCACTCTGTCTTAGTTTAAATATGTATTAAGTGTTGGGTGAATACCATAACAAATTTGACATCTCAACACATAGCTCACATAGTTCTGACATAACCCATAATATACATGAATTGATATAGGAAATGCAAGTTATTTTTAGAACGATTAGATGAACTCAGAATTACTTCCTTAATAATAATGTGTTCACCAATGTTCACTAATTATGGAAAAATCTCACACACTCTAATTCTGACTTAGAGAAACTTTAACAGTTTCCTTTTTCATCATTTTTGAGTTCCATTGGAGCAGGCTAATATACCTGGAATACTGTTTTCTTCTTGAAATACAAAGTTGCCTTATGCATAAGGCATGTCAGCCAAAAATTAATACATTGTATATAGGAACAACTGTTTGAATGATATTTGATAGCAATTTTTAAATCTAAATACTGTAGTACTAAATACTTTTTCTGCTTTTGATTAATTAATGCTATGTAAATGGTCACAAATTTTCCTTCGAAAATCCTTTCACATGTTTAAAGAAGTTCATTGTTGTGTTCCAATGGAATAATGACCCATTGGAAAAAGCATGTTAATTGTTTACAGTATTTCAATTTAAAACCATAAAGGTTTTATCTGTAAACTAAAAGATTTACTTTATTTGACTGTAAATTTTCTTCAATCTGTGTCTCTGACAAAAAAAGAACACTTTGTGAAATACAGATTTTCTATGCATGCAAATATATTTGGGAATGAATGTTTGAAGTAGCAATTCAAGTCAAAAATGTTCTAAATTTTCTTCAGAGCCATAACATAAGAACCATTTAAAATTTCTCCCAAACTTCCCTGGAATAACCAAATTTATAACAAATTACCTTTTGACAATCTACACATGGTCCTTTTTACCCATTTATTCATCTTTTGACAAAATTCAGCATCTTAAATCCAAACAGACTAGTAGCTATTACTGTATCACATAACTTGTCCAGCATAAAAACTTCCAGGGAAAATACCAGAAATCAGAAATTCTTCTTTGGCAGCCTTATTGAGAATTTTACATCTGATATGATGCTTGAACGGAAAAAGGAAATTCTCGCAACTCATTCACATGGCGTCGAGGAAGAAATCCTAGAGTACAATTCAATGTACTAAATATACACATTTCTGTCACACACTAGCATACTTAATTCTGAGAACTGTAAACATAATCAGCTGATTAGAAAATTCACCCCTTCCATGATGAAATATCAGTTTACCGTCTCCTTGACATTCTGTCATCAAATAGTACATACTCACTTCCTCTGACTAGTATAGAGAATACTGTATACAATGTTTACAGTTACGTATACCTATATGTATCTATATGGTGTTGTCACTTTGTTTCTTGACCTCCACGATATGCTGTACTGATCAGGAAGTCATATCAACTGACCACTCAATATAATATTATGTATCCACTGTATAGGAATACACATGTAACAAGATTGAATTGTGTGTGAATTGACTTATCTTAAGATCACCATCTCTCTTAACACTAATAAACTTACCCTCCTTAAACTCCAACCTGTCTATAAAATCTAAAAATGTATGGTAGAATTTCAATCATAAAGGTCTCCAGTACATGGTTTTGTGTTCTAAACAAAGGCCTTCACCATGTTCACCACATGCACATGCAAAAAACAAGGCTTAAGTTTATAAACTTTTACTGAATGAGTATGTTAAGTGTTTGTTACTTTGAATAATCTTCCCTGTTTTACAAAACCATATTTAGCATATAACACTAATTATAATTAGCAGAAGCTCTATTTATCACTGGATGACTATGTTTTTATTTTGAAAGTTGAATCTGAAGGAAACATAGCTTTTCCTATTTTAAACAATATCTTTACTAGTTTTTAGATCAATAAAACGTCATAGGAAACAAAAGACCAACAAAGTGAAGAAAAACTCCTGAGATCTAAGAATAGAATAAACAATCATATTATTACTAAAAATAGCATAAAAGTTCATTATATAATAACTGAACTAATTTAGCACCACCTTCATCTAGACATGTATACCAGTTTAAATTTAGCAATTCGGATATCTGATCAACAGATTTATCTGCAAAATGCATTCTTACCGATGTATAAAAGAATTTATTTACAGAAAAGATGTGTATATATATATATTAAGATGGTACAAATGAAATGCAGAAAAGCATAAAATCATCTACATCCTACATTTTTATTTCGTTTTTAAAGTGCTTATAAAAGTCAATAAAAATAGTGCAGGCACAAACTTAAAGGACTTATCGCATGTTTCTAAATTATTTGAAATTAAAAGCGTAAAGCTTTCCTTATGACCACATTTCATAAATTTTGTGTTTTTACTGCGGATAAACCGCGGTAATTAACCAATTATTGACTCAAATGAAAACCTCTGAATTAAAAATCTAAGTTAATTAGATAGCGATCACGTGACCCTGTGACGTCAAAGGCGACAATGGCTGATCAGCTCTTCACGTAAATCTTACTAAAATATACGCGATACAACCTGAAATTTCTGCGTAATGGACGACCAAATCACTGATTTTATCGATATGAAATTTAATATCCAACCTTATATTTTAGAATTGTCAGCAAGAAATAATCTGAAAAATCCGTTAACATTGTAAAAATAGCAGCGGCGATAGCGAGGGAGACGCGGCGAAGACGAAGAAACTCGCCATCACAATACAATTTGATTTGTCATTCTATCACATGTATTAACTTATTTGATTCACAAATTTAATATTACATAGCTTTGTTATTCTTCGTTTTTACATAATATTAATTTATGCAAGTATGCTTTCATATGTTTAGTAAAGGATGGCGGTCTTGAAAAATAATTTTCCGATCATGAAACATTGCCGTAATCAGACCTACAGATTCTAAATGTTTGGAATAAAAAACGAAAATATCTCAAAATTCCTATACCTTAGAACTAGTTAATGTTTCTATAGTAATTGAAAATCACGTTAGGAATTAATTTTTTCAGCATTTTTCATAATTAAGCTGCATTTGTCGTTGATAACTTCGTAAATAGTGTGCAACTCCTCATCTCTCTATCACTGAATTGTCGCCTATGACGTCAGAGCAGTATTTCGCCGAAATCCGACTGAAATATGCATATTGCCGTATTTGATTTTCAGCTCTCAATATTTCTTAAAATATGCTTTCAACAACGTTTATTGTATTCAGAATTTTAATAAACAAGGTTGTAGATAATATTTTTCATAAAATTAAGATTTTTGAAAAATCATGCGATAAGTCCTTTAAGTGTTAGAAATAATGCTTTTATAGAAAGAATTATGTAAAATTCAGCATGATAGTGATTTAACAGGATATTAACATAAAGACCTAACAAAACAGGAATACACCTGTGTTTATTTCATGTGCTCTATAAGGACCATTTACTTTTACTCATCAAACAGGTTTGATGACTCCTTAATCAGTCTAGTAGGTGTATGACTTTATGTCAACACCCATAACAAGGTCCAATAAAATTCACTTATCTCTGACCAACATGGATTTCCTTGCTACCTAGAATACACCCAAGATAAAATAGTGTGACATAAAAATTCCACTGTTCTTTCAGAATTGAAAAAATTCCACTGTTCTTTCAGAATTGAAAACAAATTATGGTATTATCATCATCATTATTTCAAACAAGAAGCCCATGGGCCACAACGCTCACCTGAGTAACTTTGGTCCTGCTGTTCTTCACCAGACTTTCCCCCATGTAATACTTATTGTGGCCCCGCCCTATTCCCAGGGGTCATGACTTTAACAATTTAGAATCTACACTACCCCAGGATGATTCCACATAAGTTTCAGTTTTCCTGGCCCAGTGGTTCTTGAGAAGAAAATTTTTAAAGATTTTTTCTATATATTTCAATGAAAAACTTGGATTCCTTATTGTGGCCCCACCTTACCCCCAGAGGTCATGATTTTAACAATTTAGAATCTACACTACCCCAGGATGATTCCACATAAGTTTCAGCTTTTCTGGCCCAGTGGTTCTTGAGAAGATTTTAAAAGATTTTTACTATATATTTCAATGTAAAACATGGATTCTCCATTGTGGCCCCGTCCTACCCCCCGGGGGTCATGATTTTAACAATTTAAAATCTACACTACCCCAGGATGATTCCACATAAGTTTCAGCTTTTCTGGCCCAGTGGTTCTTGAGAAGATTTTTTAATGACCCCACCCTATTTTTGCCTTTTCTTGATTATCTCCCCTTGTAAGGGGGCTTGGCTCTTCATTTTAACAATTTAATTTCCCCTTCACCCAAGGATGATTTGTACCAACTTTGGTTAAAATTGGCCCAGTGCTTCTTGAGAAGAAGTTGAAAATGTGAAACGTTTACTGATGGACGGACAGCTAGACGGACGGCGGAAAATGGGTGATCAGTAAAGCTCACTTGCGCTTTCAGCTCAGGTGAGCTAAAAAGTTACCAAAAGGTAGTTTTAGAACAATACACACTCACAATACTAATGAACATTTTATTAGAATCATTCCAGTAACAGGGAAATGTTTTAAACGTAAATTCAACAAAAACATGGAGTAATTATTTTCATATTTATCACTTTCAGCTCCCATGCACAGTTCATGTTCTACCATTCATTTTTGTTTAAATTGTACACATATATACTGGGCCCACACTGTAATACATGCAAAGTCAGAAAAGGTATCTGGTGGGGGTCATGGGTCATTTCATGCATTTCTTTTTTTTCGGGGGGGGGGGGGGGGGCTTTTTGTGCTCTTTTTACTTTTTTAAAATGAAATAATTGTGCCTCAATGAGAGTAGCTGCTCAGAGCTTGAAAATATAGGTGACCCAATGTATGTGCCCTCCTGTGCAATGAGTTCTTTTCTTCTTTTGCTAAAAAACTGTCTCTAAACAGAAAGTATTCAACATGATGTGTTGGTGATCTTGTTTACTTTTTAGTTTAAAACTTTAGATTCAGAACATACCTACTATCACATGGTACTAGTATCCATTCCTAACACTCTATCATAGTACTGACTTTTAGTTTTTACTTCAATAGTTAAGAAAGACAAAGTACAGGATAATGAGACATCATCTTCCTACCATTTGAAGGTTATCTTGCTACAGGATATAATCTCAAGGATCGAAATTAAAAGGAAATACTCACTGAAACCAAGTAAAAAATCAAAACTGCAAGGAGAGCTGATTTGTCACAAAATTTAGCAAGTAAAACAACGATCTTTTTCAAAATTTGCCGCATTTTTTTTTTTGGTTTTGGTTTTAAATTTTACATAAACTCTGTCTTGTGCACTTAAATGCTTTACATAATGACCTAAATACATCTGTTTAGTTGACTCTGAATAAATACAAGGTGAGAACCATGTGGCTTGTATGTGAGGTACATGCCACTTTTAATAAAAGATTTAATGCTTATAATTTTCATGGGTCAGGTTGTGATAATAAACAGTGAAAATAAACACAGTAAATAAAGCCACATCTCATATTTTTCTGGCTTTAGCATACTGTGTAAAGTGTTGCCTATCTTTAAAAAGTGATTAGAATATGAGAACATTAAAACTTAATTTTTTCTATCAAAATGTGGCAAATTTAAAACAAAGTTAACCGACTGTCCATAACAAATGGCTTTATATAATATAAAAATAGATTTGATTATTTTTTTCTTGCACATGTATACGTTATGTTCATTCCAAAAGTTTTGTTATAATCAGATAGATGATATTTATACTGTTCTTTATTTATATATGGAAAGTCTTAGAGACAGAAAAAGACTGAATTAGTCTGTAATTTCTCTAATCACAGAAGTGATCAAGTAGCACAGAAAAATGCTAGTAAAACTTTAAGTTTGCTACCAGAAATTTTTTCCATTAGCTAAAATTGGCCAGTAGTCAAAAAAGTTTATTTGATCCCTGAATCTTGCATTTGGTCAGTTATTGCACTCCAGTAGGACAAGCTTAACAGATCGAAATATAAGTTTGGGTCAGACTCCTTCAAAACTAGGGGTGAAACGATACACCTCCTTCACGGTTCGATACGTATTGTATAATTTTGTCTCGGTTCGGTTATTTTCGATACGATACATTTTGATAGAAGGAAACAAATT